CTACTAGAAGTGGCAATGAAAAGAATAACAATACTAATGATAATACCAATCATCATCATACTACTGCTCCTACTACCACTACTACTACCACTACCACTACCACTACCACTACCACTACCACGACCACCACCACCACCACCACCACCACCACCACCACCACGACTACTACTACTACTACTACTACTACTACTAGTACCACTACTTGGTTCTACTGTTGCCACTGCTAGTAACCATATAGTAATAATATTAATAACAACAAGAAGAGTAAGAGTTAAGAGTCACAATAGCAACAATAATCACAGTAACAACTAATAATGGAAAAAAATAATGGGACTAATAATAAACAATAACAGGAATAATGAGAATAGCATAATAATTGCAATGCAAAGAAGAAAAACTGCAAGATTAGTATGGTTTATATTCTCAGGCCAGCAACAGTAGTCATGATAAGAAGTAGAATGGTCATCCTATACATATTACACAAAAACGATACCTATATATGTATATAATCGTATAATCAAGAACGGTAGTAATAATATCAATATTCATGGCAGTTTTAACCGTAAAAGTCAAACAGGGAATAGGACTAGGACTATTCCAACTGACAGCGTCAATAATCATGATCATGAATACTCTAGCGATCCTACTGCCATGAACCGATCGATAACTCGTCTTTAGGAGTCTATGAGCTTAGGGGTGGGGGGTTTATAGGGTCTGTAAGCCCCAAACCCTGAACCCTAGACCCCCCAAGCCCTAAACCCCTCAAGCCCTAAACCCTAAACCCAAAGACGAACCTGCCCATAAACCCTAAACCCCAAACCCTAAACCCTAAAGCCGAAGCCCCTCAAGCCATAACGAAGAGAGGTCCTAAACCCTAAACCCTAAGATGAACCTAAACCCTAAACCTTAAGCCCAAACATGAACCTAAGCCCTAAACCCTAAACCCAAAGATGGACCTAAACCCTAAACCCTAAACCCTAAACCCTAAACCCCACACCCTAAACCCTAAACCCAAAGATGGACCGAAAAGAGAGGACGAGTATGCAGATGTGGACTGGTGCGACCCAGAGGAGCTCGGCGAGGAAGCTCCGGAACTGTGGCTTCCTGTTAGAAGGTCCATTAAAGGGTGCCTTCAAGGGTTTTAGGGTTTAGGGTTTAGGGTTTAGGGCCGTTTAGGGTTTAGGATTGAGGGGTTTAGGGTTTAGGGTTTAGGGCCAGAGACTCCAACACCCCTTAATTAAGGACTGTACCTTAAATTATAGGGGCCTTAAAGGGATCTATAAGGGTCTAGGGTTTAGGGTTTAGGGTTTAGGAGCATACCTTAAATCGTATTAGGGATCCTACTATAATTTAAGGTCTTTTCCTTAATTAAGGGGTATTGGAGTCTCTGGGTTAGAAGGTCCCTGAAACGGTGCCTTCAAAGGGTTTTTCTGAGGGTTTAGGGTTTAGGGTTTAAGGTTTAGGATTGAGGGGTTTAGGGTTTAGGGTTTAGGGTTCCTTCAAGAGATTTTCTTGGGGTTTAAAACTCTGCTTTTTGGGCTTGGAAGGCTTCCTTTAAAGTTGGGATCCGTTTTCAAGCCGGCCCCAAAGTCAAAGGGGATTCTTAGAGGGTTAACCTTTATATGCAAAGCGATGGGGGTATTGCAGCCGTGTTCTAGTGGTGGTCCTAAACCCTAAACCCTAAACCCCTAAACCCCTAAACCCCTCAACCGTGGCTCCTGATGTGTTTTTTGCTCTGGGTGGGGGCTCCAGAGTGGAGCTCTTTGGAGCAGGATGCACATAGACTCGTCTCCCTTCAACTCAAAAAATCCTAAGCCTAAGGGTTTAGGGTTTAGGGTCTAGGGTTTAGGGGTTTAGGGTTTAGGGTAGGGCCTAAACATTCTAGACCCTAAGCTCCCTAATCCCGACACCTTGTTTTATGCAGGGGTTGAGGCGAACTCTGAACCCCAATTCCTGACTCTCCAGCCCCAAACCCGAGGACACACCCGCGGTATCTTCGCCAGCAGCACCTGCTGCGGCAGCCACGGGAGCGTCTGAGACACCTCCCAGGAGCACCGGCGAAGCGAAGGCGAAAGAGCCGAAGCAGCCGAATCTTGCCTGGTATCTGTAGTATCAGGGTCACGGGGTCTAGGGAAGGAGTGATGGTCGTTGCGATAAGTTTGTTAGCTACCTTGAAATCGGAAGACATCGGCAAACAGCCTAAAACTGGAGCCTACACCATAAACCCAGAACCCCTCAAATCCTGAGTCCTATATACCTTATCCCCACCTTGAATCCTGTAAACCTAATATCCTGAAGTCGTGCATCCGGTAGAAACACCGCGAAACCATCCCCTCAAACCTTGCACCCTTGACAGGAGATGCTTTCTGGCGCTTTTGTTCGGCTGCCCGTTGTGGAATGACTAGTGATACTGTCCCCGTATAGTCCCTAGAGAATCATACATACACTATAGTTTATATAACGAACGCCAGAACCCTGGCGCCCAATTGCCGGGGAATGTGGCCGGGAGGCATCGATGAACCCTGCACCAAAACCGAATTCCTTAAGCCATGCTGCCTTAACTGTGAAACCCTAAACCCTAAACCCTCAACATAAGAAGGATTACGAGGTCGGCGAAGGGCTGAGAGAGGCTCGATCACCGCATGCCCAAGTTATCCCAAGTCTTTAGGGGTTCAGTTTAGGGTTTAGGGTTTAGGGTTTAGGGTTTAGGGTTTAGGAACTTCGGGCTTTCATGTCGACAACTGGGGGGCATCAGACGAGGAAATCACAGCACTCAACTGACACACGTCTACGCACACAACCCTAAACCCTAAACCCTAAAAACTAAACCCTAAACCCTAAACCCTAAAAACTAAACCCTAAACCCTAAACCCTACAGCTTCAACAACGTCCCAGGCCTCCGGGGGACTTAGCCGCTCTGAGCTCGAATCTTTGTGTAGCATGCTCGCAACGCCCCGGGGCCCCAAGAACCCCAAGCCCCTAAAACTCTTAACCCTAAACTTAAACCCTCTTAAGCCTTATAAGCTTAAGTCTTGAACCCTATTAAGCCTTAAACTTAAGTCTTAAACCCTATTAAGCCTTAAAGTTTAGTCTTAAATCCGAGATTCGGACCAAGGAAATCCTCGAAAGACTCCGAGGAGGCCAAGCGGCTCCGGCGGGAGGCCGTTCTTCAACACAGCGTTCTATCCCTGTGCTGCGTCGCCCGCCTGGTGTGGCTGCATCTTCGACTTCAAGCTTCCATGTGGGTGGTTGTCAGGTTTAGGGTTTAGGGTTTAGGGTTTAGGGTTTAGGGTTTAGGGTTTAGGGTTTAGGGTCCCTTTTTGGGTCCTTATTATGTTACGGGACCTATTATTTAAAGGGTACCCCAAAATAAAAGGGACCATAATTTCGACAACTACCCATGTTGACCTTCCGAATAGGGTTTAGGGTTTGTAAACCCTTCCCGTCTTACGACCTCGCCTCTCTACTTCAGTGCTACGGTGACGCTTTTTAAATATGTGGAGGGCGGCCCAGGCCCAAGGATGACAGAGGTAGTGTAAATGACCTGTTTAAATCCGGAAGTTTAAATATCTACTGCCCTCCTTCTCCAGAACTCCAGCCTTCCAGCCTTCCAGCCTTCCAGCCTTCCAGCCCTCCCGCCTTCCAGCCTTCCAGCCTTCCAGCCCCAGCCCCCAGCCCTCCAGCCTCCAGCGTCCAGCCTTCCAGCCTTCCAGCCCTCCAGCTCCAGCCTTCCAGCCCTCCAGCCTTCCAGCCTTCCAGTCTTCCAGCCTTCCAGCCTTCCAGCTTTCCAGCCTCCAGCCTTCCAGCCTTCCAGCCCTCCAGCGTCCAGCCTTTCTAGCCTTCCAGCCTTGCAGCCCTGCCTTCCAGCCTTCCAGCCCTCCAGCGTCCAGCC